CGTAGATTGGAGACGACGTGTTTCAGAAAGCGGAAAGAGACAGAGTGATGAAAGTTTCGATCGTTCTTTCCTCCCTTCCTCGAGGGGTGAGGGGGCGGCGGCGCAGGCCTTGACGCGCGTGCACCTCGACGGTGGGGCGTGGTGTGGCCAGGAGAGGCCCGCCGAGCTGCTCACTCGCCGCAGTGAGACGTGTGGGTTACGGTGACCTGCCCGTCGCTCCAACTCGACAACAGTGCACAGATAACCTAACCTGCCGCCCGCCAGCAAAGAACAGCTGCCACGTGCGCGTGACGTCGTAAAACATTAGCAGGGTCTACGAAATATTAGCGAGTGTGCTGGTTGGTTCAGTTGCGTGCGTGAACAGAACATGAGCGAGTTCAGCCTTGTCTTGGCATCGTTTACATGACTGAAGGGTCGCAGGGGTTAATGCACAGATAACGCACGCATTCACAGCGTCGACAAGTGGGCTACTGCGCGGTGGACCTGAACGTAAGTACAGAACTCTGACAATCTGCGAGTCGGTGGGGTGAAGTGTTTCATTCAGGTCCAAAAGTCTCCTCAAGATACACCTCAATCAGAAGAGCAGACAGAAAGTTGCGGATCTTCGTGTTTACAGATTTTCTGGTCAATGATCACACAACAGCTCTCTGTATTAAGAAATGGACGGAATGAAACACTTCATTTCCCAGATACTTCTTAACATACGGTAGTGACATTTGTATGAGTCGGCTTATAGACTGTGAACCAAAAAGATATGTCCTTACATGTGTGTGTGTGTGGCGAAAGGAAGCCTACACAGGTGAAACAGAACGACAGGTCTTAAAATACGTGGCAAGCGATGCGTTATGCACAAAGCGTTATCATGGCTGATCACGTGCCTCCGAACCTGAGGACTTTCAACTTGGTGTTTAAGGAAAGCTCTTAAGAGCCTGAATTTTTTGCTATCTTTTACCAAGAATCAATGTCGTCCACGCGTTTGGACCGTACTTCGTTTCCACAACTCTGTGTGTGATATAATCTAGGAGAGGCATTTGTTTCTTGTTATAACGATCCTAGACAGAGTAACCTAACCGCATTTCCGTGTCAAATTAAGGAAGAAACTATCGTTATGATATTTACGTTTTCAAATGAAAATGACTCGTCTTATTATAAAACGTATGACCCGCAAGACAACAAAATGGTTTAGAATTTTGCTAACGACCACTCTTTAAGAATTTGATCAAAATCCATTCGTAAAGCTGGAATGTCCTCCAAATCAACTCGCTCTTTCAATGACGACGTTCTGGGTCTTGGCGCCGTGTTGACTGGTCGGTGAACGCATCGTCATAATCGTCACAGCCGATACGCCCGTCTGTGCGCGTCGAAGTAATTCCTTTGAGACGCTCCGTGAAATTCTCCCATAACTGGCGGTGTTATTAAACGTGTAACTGTTATTTACAAAAAGCGAAATTCACCGACTACTCAGAGTAGGGCGAGGATGATTAAGTAGCTTAGAAGTATGTGCGTCTGGAGCTCTCCGCCACAGACCATGCCTTTTCCCTGCCCCTGAGACACAAAAACTATGACAACATCGCCACTTCCGTATTTATACTAAACTTTCACGTAGCCGACGTATCGTCGAAAGAGATGCGACAGAATGACGCTGAATTTGAAAGGGTCTCGGAAGGAGCTTTCAAGACGTATTTTACAGCAACCAATACGAAGTCCGAAGGAAAACCTCGAAAATATTAACGTTGGGCTAAGCCACTCGAACATAACCACTGGGATGACATGATTATGTAACTGGCAGAATGCGGGGAGGGGGGGGGGGCAAAACAGATCTCTTTTCCAGATTCCACTCTACACGAGATTCCTAAATATGTAGCTGAATGGGTTTGTACATAAAATTAAACACACGACAAGGCGATTATTCAAAATGCATGACTGACATCTCTCAAGGAAGTAATCTAAATTTTTTAATGTTTTCGTCACCACAGATTAAAAAGCAGCGTTAATGTGACTACTAGTCGTCATTTAAGAACTGCCCAAAACAGGACAAATCAGAAAAGTGGCGTCCGGGCGCCTGCCTGCAGTTAAAAAACAGCGAGAGTGTGGGTTGGGGGCTTTTGTTGAAATAGCGTAAACACCATTTTAAAATGAAGCAGGAAGTCTCTCTGCTCTCCCAACTAGAACGAATATGAATATAAATTATATTTTACATGGAGCTCGAATCGAAGTTCACACAGAAGAAGACGGTTCTAACAATAATTACAGAAACTGCGTCAAATATTTTAAGACCTCATTATGCGCACTCATTGCATATTATACGCGATCTGTAAATAAGACGAAGAGAGACAAACAAGTGTCTAATGACAGAAATTTGGAAACTATAAAAATAAGGTATTCAGGCAATACTTTAACAACAACCAAAACAAGAGTATTTAGATTGGATAGGCGCGTGAGAGACTTAGACACAGATGGAAGGATAACATTAAGATGGATCTGCGATAAACAAGGTCCGAACACGTGAATTTCGTTCAACTGGCTCAGTGTAGGGTCGAGTGGCGGGAATTTGTGAACACGGATTTCTTTAAAGGAGGAAACGTGCTGACTGCCCCAGTAACTCGACTTTTCACAGACATCCTCCAGCACTCAGCTAATTAGTGCACTCATTAGTTTTTAAGTAAGAAGGCGTGAACACGAATATCTGACCCTAAAATTTAATTTAACAAACGCATCTCAGTAACGGCTTCATTACTGGTTAAATGAAAACTCAAACAGCCACAATGAAGCTGTTTCGCGTGCAAGAGAGACGGTCGGACGCAGTGCAATTTCGTAAGGCTCATAAACCGACTGGCGATTACACTCGCAGCTGCGACCGCGATGCGTTAAAATGCGTCGACTGCGAGGCACACGCACGACACGCACGGTCATTCTCGGGCGAAGAGAAATTGTCCGTACGCTCACGGACTCGTCAGAAACAAAACGAAGGCTGCAAGAGGTCACGGCGAGTTTAGGCGTCCGTATCACCGAATCATTCGCATTTATATTTCCACAGTTCAGGAACTCGTGTTTTACAAGGCAATGGAAGACAGAAGTATGAATAACCTTCAAATCTTTGTTATAATAGAATGCTGCAGATGCTAAGATAAACGGATGACTAAAGCGGGAGTTACGAGTCCATAATCAACCGCGGAAATTTTCTATAACCTCAACTAGAACCTGAAGTGTAAATAAAGCCTCTAAATATCTCATATACTTTACGCATTCTAATTTTAGAACAAAAAACATTTTTACGAACTACTAAAACTTGTAAATACAGTAATAACGAGATACAAATAAAAATGGTCAATAGAAAAACCGAATTGACAGTGGACGTTAATCTGAGCAAGAAGAGTCCAGTTACACGATCGCACTGCATTTTGAGATCCACCTCTCATTCTCGCCCCAATTTAAGGCCAGGTTTCGCAAGGGGCCACCTTCTTTCTGGTTTCCGAAGCAAACATTTATGTGCGCGCCTTGTCTCCGTCGTGGGCGAGACATATGTCTCGCCCATTCCACACTCTCTGTCTGATAAGAGAAGAGATGAGTCACACGTCGAGTTACTGGAACAGAAATGAACCAACCCCAACACCAGAAAGTCCTAGTAATCTCAACATTTTTATCAAAATGAATTATACGACACGCCTTGAAATTCGTCCCGAATGTCACTCAGGATAAGATTCACACACTTTAAAGGCGGAAATTGTTGAAGTTGCTTGAAGTGGCGAAACTTGAAAAGACTTTCGACTTCGACAACTGCGAACGCAATCAACAATAGTAATAAGAATATCTGTTAAAATAATGGCGAGGGCACGGCAATACTGAGAAGTACTCACCGCAAGCGGAAGATGCGCTCAGGATTCACATTCTGTCTGCCAATTTCCTGCCAGGTAAACCTGTAAAATACGGAAACACGTGAACACAATTAAGTGAACCGGACACGCGTTACTACTGACCAATAAGAAAAGAAGAACGAGCCTATTTAATTGATAATGTCTTATAATTAATCGACATGAAAACAAAATTACACGTAGCTCATCAAATTAAACATAAGTTGTATAAAAATTAAGTTAAATATAGCTGATGACGTAATTAACACCAGCCTCAGAAATGACGCGCACTGCAGCAGCACAATCGAAGAAGCTATTACTTGATGTCAAACTAAACCAAGACATTCAGTTACCCTGGATGCATTTATTGCAGATACCACACGACTTAGAATAATATTTTTAAGAACTGACATTTTTTTTTTAGAAAATTTAATTAAATATGGTTTAAGATAATGTAAAGTCTTCGAACGTGAACCTACTTCAAGTCCAGTTATATACATATATGAAGCTCGTAATTCGTGATCTGGTTGCGGCTCGTCTTGGAAGACAGTGACAAAGCAAGAGACTTAGACGCTCCTGGGAACCCTTTTAAATTAGCGACAAGCCCTGAACGTAGTTACTTTAAGGGCTGGACTAATGCTTCTCGCCACCACACTGCACTCACGCTTTCAAACAGCAATTTCCCGCCAGCAGAGGTACACACGCGGCATCACAGCGCACGTTGTGACCTGCAGAATAACGGACCACCTCAGCAATGTTTGTGTCTAGAGAAATAATTGCACTGCGTGCGTACGCGACGCGCCCTGTTCTTGAAGAGCAAACACCGCATTAATTAGGCATTAAATTCTGCGCGCGCGCGCGCCTTTTTTTTAACGTTTCTGAGCGTGTAACTGAAACCACGGACGAGGTTACGCCTCAGACATCGGAAGTTGGGCGGCACAGCGTCCTGTTTCTTCGCCGTTTAACGATTTCTTTTCAACTGTGAAATTTTCGCATCGCCGAGCCACAAATTTTGAATCACGTCGTCACCTTTAAGTAAAACCTTTATCCTCAGTAGACCGATGAAATTCATGATAAGTCTAAGTGCGGTCTTCGGACTGAGAAACGAACCAAGGATCTCCCTAAAACGGGGGCAAACCACGATGAGCTCCGTCGATGTTCGGTCTTTCGGGGGACAGAACTAATTCACGAACGTCGATTATCCGGGGTGCACAATTTTTGTAAGATTATTATGTCAACGATTCGCTCATCCAGACCGACGCCATGCATAGATTCAAGGCCCTGAAGGTAGAGGCAGTAGAGTGCTCATCCGGAGCGCCGGTATCAACCTACGAGTCTACACGGCGTAGACTCAGAACAACATCGTCATCTTCACCGCCGCGAAAACCTCAAATCACACATATTGATTTTCTTAACGACACCATGACAAGTGCGTAAGTTACACAGTTTTGAAAGAGACCAGAAAAGAATCATGTGCGGACTGGAGTGGTCGTTGCCTACTTATCCCTCGAAAGACTGTCAGTACAGCCGATAGAAAATAAGCTCACGACACAGAGCATGTTGTAAGAGGCTACTACTACTTGATAATAATTCGTTAAATATTTACTAGACGGACGCTGTTTAAAATGAACGTTGCAGATCTTTAGTGAATATTTTATGCAATGCGACAATGTTTTTTTAAATGCCCCGTTTCTTGAAGATCTCCATGAAACGCTATTTGAGCCAATGTCAAGTACGAGGTGTCACATAAGACCGGTTCTAACGAAAAACAGATTTGCCTGACAACATTTAATGTAAATTCGATTTAAAACTTTTCAGTAATTTCAGAAATTAAAACTGTTAAACCCTCCCCATCATGCGTTCTCTTTGTGCTATGGGCTAAACGAATAAAATGCCTTTGTATTTAGTCTGCAGGCAGTGTTTACTGCTGTTTACAAACGCGATGAATCATATTCAGTGAAGACGGGCGAAGATCTGAAGATTATTAGAAAGATAATCACTGTTTATTATGGGGAGCAAATGAAACCCATAAATGTACTCTGTGGCTATCCCGTTGCAGATCGTTATCGTAAGTGGCAGACACAATTACCAGCTCCTATAAAGATCAAAACACCAAAGACATAAGAAAGCCATTCAGATAAAGGAATCAGTAACAGCAATAATCATTGCCTCCGAAAAAGTATCTATAAGGTAGCTAAGAAGTCCTTTGAGTGCTAGTAATGACAGTGGCCTAATTTCCTATCCGATGTCGAAAGGTCGCGAGAGATTGGTGACGGTCTGCGGAAGACTCACTAGGAATTAATTCACATCGAACAAAACAAAGTCAATAAAACTACACTACATCTTAATGGAAGAGAATACATTTCCTACGTACTCTTCCAAGTCCTACAAACGACTACACCGGAGGACTCAGAACCGGACCAACCAGGCGCGCGTCATTGTCTGTGTCAAGTTTGTCTTTCTCGATTTCTAAATGAAATAGGTCGCCTTTGAAAATGAGTGCCTGGCATGAACCATGGCCTGGACGTGTCAAGAAGTGTGCATCGGGCCCTAATAAAAGTCAGCTAAAACCAGTATCAAGAGTGTTTTTATTAAGCGCAAACCATATCGCGTTTGATGTTACATAATTACCCGAACAACTGAACGTCATTAAGTGTGCTATAAAAGGCTACCCTGCATCATTCTCCTGAAGACAAAGCACGCCCTCTCACTGCCATGTCACCCGTAACTGGCGTGACACAATTTATACGTATCAACTGCGAGTGTGCCGAGATACACTCCGACAGAGAAGGAAAATTCAACAGACCGCACGATTATAAGCACGCAGTGTCTGAAATCACAGAGCTACCTTGTTGCGTTTCATTAAATATTTAATACACCAGACATATTTCGTATCAAGTCTCGATTTTGTGGGAACTAATCTTACATTTTTCCCTGTCAGACTAAGCCATATTTTTATCTAATCAGTACACTTTCATTTTGGCTTCATATAAATCAGAAATTACTCCATATCTGATCAATATGAACCGAAATTAAATATACCCTAATACTTTCATTTTGGCTTCATATAAATCAGGATTTACTCCATATGTGATCAATATGAACCGAAATTAAATACACCCTAACAGTTTCATTGTGGGGTCTCAAATACCAAATTTAATCTAAATTTGTTCACAAGTTTCGGATAAGAAACTTACAGACTGCTTACTACGCGTCGTTCACACTTCGTTCAAAAAAATTCACATAAAGTTAGTAAATGTAGTCATGGCGTATCGATACTGGCACGTTCGACAGAATCTGATCTTTCACGGCGAAGGAATGCCCGACCGTTGTAGATCATCATGAAAATAACCTTATTTTTTTTTGTCAAATTTCAACCACAATTGAAATGTGTCGACAAATGTTAGTAAAATTCCCCAGAATCAAATCTGTTGCGTGCGTACAGACGGACGGACAGAAGTATTGTAATAGACGCTCATCAGGGATAAGAACGCTCCTGAAATTAAAGCAAAGCTGACGGATGTACGCATCAAAACACGACAGAGTCACTCACAAGGGCTCACTTATTAAAAGGAATCCAACCCTTTAAGGCGGGATATCTGGGCGAAATAAAAGACCGTGGCGACCTTAGAAAACCTGGCGTCTTCTGAGCTTCGCGATGCTCGGCGTCATTTCCTGATTTATCACTAAATGCATTTCGAGGCTCACCCATGATAATATGGTGTCTTCTGCCGACGTCGCGAATATAAGAGTCGAGACGCACGGCGTTGGTTTTCCAGCATTATTTACAATGGCATACCTGAAGAAAATAAGGCGTCGCGAAGAATGGCGTCGGTTTTCTTGCATGTCTATTCGCCTTCTTTGGTGCATCTGCATAAAACTGTCTTGCGGAAGAATCGCGGCGACTGGCGTCGCTACTCTGTGTCGATTTTGCAACTGTTTGTTCAATGGAAGCCCTTGTTTCACCTGTGCTAAAATTGGAACATTCTGATGGCGTCAGGACGCTTGGCGTCAGTTTTAAACATCGCTTTCGATGGTATCCACGCGTTCGACTGAGTCGTGCGTCGGAGTTCGTTCTCCAGCGTTGTGTTCAGTGGCGTCCAGATGCTCATTTGCGCAAAAATAGGGCGTCTTTCGGAAGCGGTGTGACAGTTGGCTGCGACGTCAGTTTGTTAGCATCGGTGTTATGTCACGAGGCTTGTAATGTTTTTTTTAAGTTAGTAGTTGACGTCGCGACGTTCGGTGTTCTTTTAAACGTCGTGCACAATGACATCCCGAGGCTCATCTTTGCTAAATATGGCGGCGTCGCAACGACTGGCGTCCCGACGCGACCTCGGTTAATCACATGGCGCCGATTCGTATGTGTCATGTCAAATTTTATCCAGAGGACAGCGTATTATTACAGAAAAGGGTTAATACAAACCCAAAATCTTCACGAATGTTCGAATCCAGGACACTTTTCGGATTTGTGACGATAGATCCTGTAATCTGTTATCCGAAACCAACAAGTTTTGCAGAGTCTCCGTTCTTCTGTTGCGCTCAATACTGAAGGTGCATACAACGTCCTCGTAACGACTTGAACACGGGGCAGATTTCGTGTTGTGTTGTTTCTTTCTTATGATCTCCTCCTCCAAACAAATAACTTCGTTCTAGGCGTCTTTTTCTATCACGCTCAGTGGGAATCGAACTCAGGAAACCTTTCCCAGTACTTTTGACCATTCTACTATCTCTTCCTGGTCTCAAGAAATAATCATGCCAAATTTGGAGCAAATCGGTTTTTACGTTCTCGATCTTTTGGTGAAGAAACAGCTAAATCCACAATTTCAACTTTGTATTTGCGGTTGTTAGGTGAGCGTCGACTTCAAAGGGTTAAGAAACCATGGTTTCCGAAGGAGTAAACCATGAGTTGGTTTCACCACAGTTATGCAAAGAGACAATTTACAGTGTACGCGACTTTGGGAAAACGTTCAGGAGAGAAAGCTGACTTCGCGGAGGTGGCGCCGTCGTGCTAAACAGATGACAGACGCCGCACGAGCTCAAAACATTGCGAAACATCGTCTAGATAG